CTTTTGTGGATCCAACATGCCATATCTTGCCTGGACAATGTCCTGCAGGTTACTTGCTGTCAAAGTCCAGCAGGCCCCACTCATGGGTATCCATCCAGAGAGGTTGTCAAAAGCTTTTTTTAAAAACTTGGTTTGTTTTGACAACTGTCAAAAGGTGAACTGTCAAGAGAAATCAAAACTGAGAGTGATATTTGCTTGTGAAAAAGGGGTAGCCAATAGATCACCCTTCAAACCCTTTCCTCAAGGGGTTTTTTTTGGGGGGAGGATCTGACTTTTGTCAGTTTCTTTTCACTTTTCCACTCTTTGGGAGGAAAAGTACAAGGCACTTCCTTTAACAGGAGCACGCTTGTCAAAAACTGCAGAGAACTCTCAAAACATCCCTTTTGAAAAGAACCAGAATTTTCTATGTGCTAAGGGGAAAACAGCGTGGCTTCTTCCTGTTGCAAGGTTAGTCCTTCTCTTACCCAAATTTTTGTACAGGTAATTTTTTATGCTATTGCCTTTGACAGGGGACTTGCAGAAATATCCACAAAGACTGAAATGCCATAAAACTGATCATTAAGTTGGCTGAGCATGGGGAGAGGAGTTTGTTTAATGTTTGGCCTAGTGATTAGAATGAGCTCAGTGAAGTAGGGTTGTACTTGGGTGGGTGGGATCAGGTAGCCACAAAATAGATGCACGAGATCGGCTTTTCACTATCAGTTTTCAAGGTCTCTTTAGATCAACCTTTTCCAACCTGGAACTCATGCTTGCTAAGGAATGCTGGGAGTTGAAGTCCAGAGGATGCTAGCTTGCAAAGATAAATTTAGATCCTCCTGTCACATGTCTACAGATAAACTTTGCTTTTGTGGAAATGAGGGGGCACCCAATAGCTATAGGCATAGATGTCACAAACCTCGTACAGTTTGAGAAGATTCATCTGAGCAGCTACACAACACCTTTTTCCTAGCACTGCTTTCCATACTTTCAGCTGAACATTTGCCATGTACATGTTGTATCTTGAACTCCGAGCTCTAGAATAGGCACTGGCTTACTATTCCCTGCACTACTATAGCAGCTGAAATACTTGCTGCATCTGGAGACTTTAGACAAAGAGCTACCAAATCCCAGAGACTCCAGTAATGTGCCATTTCTCTCAATAAAACTATGTAGTTGGATCTCTCGCATCACTCAGTTTGAGCAACTTGTTGCATGGACTTCATCTGCAACCATTTTGCTATCTTTCTGTCCGAAACTCTCATTTTATCTATAGTTTATCTACTGGTGTTTGAACTTCATGACTTACCTTTCAGCCTGTCCATCTTATGCTCTGCCATTCTTATCTATACCAGTGACTGAGGAGCTTGGGCAAGAGGAGCACCCATCTTGCACCCAACCTGTTTGAGGGTTCCTGTGGGCAGCTGGTGTACAAAGTGTTGGACTGAATTGACCTTTGGTCTGATCCAGCCCGGATTTCTTATGTGTTCTTTGCTGCTGCTGCTGGTTTCTCCTTTACAGTTTCCACCTGTAATAGATCTGGCCAAGTTTGCGGACATTACTGACTTGGGATGAAGGAAGGCTGGTGTCAAGAATAGGCAGGGTTGGGGACCTGGCAAGGGACCACATCCCAGAATGGGCCCACTGACAGCCCGCTGAAGATCCCTCTCCTCCTCACTGTTAAAACCTGCTTGTTGCCTTGCCCCTCACCCAGGCCCAGGTTGTGGGTGAGGAAGAACAGCGGATGCTCCTGCTTGATTGTTCATAGGCTCTTTGCCTGCCAAGCAACTGAGAGACAGCAGTGAGGAGAAAGAGGATGAGGAGCAAGAGCTGCTAAGGACACTGGCCATGAGAAAGCAGACTCACTGAGAGGGGGAGCCCACAGAGGCTGTCTTGCCCAAGTATCTGCAAAAACCCAGAATGGGCACTGGGCTCAGATTATAGTGTAATGGTAAGAGATGCATTGCTCTAAATCTGGTCTTGCCTCAATAATGTAAGAAGTGGGAGGGGAATGATTCTAAGGGTAAAAGGGACATGCAACTGCATGGGAATGGAAGCCTTCCTCCTCCAACAACTTATCTCTCTGTCATGGGAACTCTCTCTCCTGGACAAGCTCCAACACTGGGGTGAGGCTGCATCCCCTTTTCTCTTTAAACTGCTCCCACCACCCTGGGTTGTCTATGGATGTGGCAGATCTGGGTTTGAGGAAAATGGTCATCCACCTTCCGTACCAGTCCTTGAACTCCTGTGAGGGCTTGGCGGCACAAAACCTGCCAACATATATTCAGAATGTTTTCTCTAACCATGAGGACTAGGGATAGGGTGGCCACTTACCAAGAAAGATACACATTTGCATACGATTTGCATATGGTGATTTAGACAGAGCCATGCAAATTTAGGTATTCTTATTATTTAAATAGAAAAGTGGTACATATTAGTGCAGAAGATTGTGAACAGGTGACCTGGGTGTCTTGCTCAGTGCTGTTGTGGGGCAACTTGAAAGCTCAGCTCTTCCTTCTGATGGGCTTTTATCACTAAACTAGACTTGGATGGGGCATTCCTTCAAACAGGTGTGTCCTTCAAAGTAGAGGGCAGTCCTCTGGCAACCCTTCAAATATGGATGGTCTTCTATAAAAGAGAATACCTGGCCACCCTATTTTTGCAGGAGTTCCAGCTAGGATTTTGTGCCACTTTTGGGAGTAGCAAGCTGGAGCCAAAACTTAGTCTGTACTTGCTTATTGTGTGGTATGGTGTGTCTTCTCCCAACCGGTGGTGTCCCCTCCCAATTCTGGCATGCACAGGTATGAGGGAGGATGAGACAAATTAAGATCAAAGATGGAAGATCTGTTTTATCTGCTCCCAAGACATGATAAATGTCATTCACCTGCATGGCTCAAATTTAAATTCTTGTAGCTGCTGCTGCTTTAGGAAAGGGAAACAAACTCTGCAGTGGCTCAGGTATCACTGAAAAAATGGCTTCCTGAATTCTAGCTTAGGAATGCATCCTCCTTTTAAAGCCATAAAGGGCAAAAACAGCTTTTCAGCTCTTCATAAGAGTCTCTGGCACCTCGAATCCACAACCACCAAAAAACTGCTGCACAGAACAAGAATTCTGTTCTATTTCTTTTGACTTTTCCATGATGGGATGGACAAAATGGCATTTTGGGGCCGGATCCAGCTCTTTGGGGTTTGTGCAGCAGCAAGACGAAGGGGACAACTCATTGATCTGCGATTTGCATAGCTGCTTTGAAAGTCAATCAATGCCTCCATTAAAAAAACTGAGACTAAATCAATATGCCCTCTCTTCTCTCACAAAGGTGAAACGCATTAAGGGGCCAGCTTTACCCTTCCTGGTTTCCTCTACCAGCTGCAAAGTCAGCATCAATGTAGAGAGAGACAGAAAGAGGACTTAAACCATCATGCAACTCTTAAGCTACAGAGAATAGAGATGTAACAAGAGTAGGAGGGCCAGAGAGAACAATACCAAATTAGAACATTACCCGCCCCCCACCACCCTTTTACCCAGTTCACACTTCTTCCTTTTAAAACAGGAGCTTCCTAGGCTATTGCTGACCAAGGCTTTGTATTCTGTAGTCCAAACTCCCTCAACATCCTACCTGCCAGCGATTTCAGACTTCAGCTCCCACTGGCCCCAGCCAACCTGGCCAGGAATTCTAGGGGTTGCACTCCAGCATCTGGAGAGCACTGACCTGGGAAAGACTGCTGTAGTTTCTCTGTGTTGTTTGTAACAGTCATTTGCTTTGTTCTTTTGCCACAGGAAGGGAGTAGGGACTGTTGTAAATAACTGGGAGGCGCTTGGTTTCAGTAGTTGAAGCAACGCAAGAAAACATTCGATTTTTGGCTACCTTTTGAAACTGGGCCTGATTCTGACTCTTGCTTGGATTTAGGACCGCTGTGTTCTGAAGAGGTTTTGTTTATATGTGAAGGGAAGTGCTATTGCGCCACGTGGGTGCCTTGCCGCTCCTATGGGTAGACCCTCCTTCCCCAACCTGGTACTCACCAGATGTTTTGGAATGCAAGTCCCAGGATTGCTGTGAGTGCTGTGAGTTGAAGTCTGCAACACCAGGTGGGGAAGGCTGTAGTAGGCAGTACATGTGGAGACTCTCCGGTCCTGGCATACAGTAGGAAACACTTCATGGGAGACAGCATGCAGGGGACTCCTCACTGTTATTTCTGATCTCAGACTGGAGATAACGGTGGGATGCAGACAGTGCTGGGAGAAGAGGCTGCCCTTCCCAGTGCTGGCTGAATCTGTTTGCACGATGCCCCCATGGGGTGAGGCACACATGGAGACTCAGCTGATGCTGGGAGTGGCTGCTGTGCCCATCACCAGCCAAGTTCTGCCTCCTGCCCCCACCGCTGAGGACTTTGCAGTTGCTCCTCCCAGCACTGGCTTAACTTCTTTCCTCTTGCTGAGAAGCTTGGGGCTTGGTACCTCTCTCAGCAGGGAGACAGGCAAAAAGGTGGGGCACTGCTGGCAGCAGGTGTGGCCACACTCCGTGACATTCATCCAGCCTGCAGAGGGCCCGCTGAGGGAAAATTCAGCCACCAGCTAAAACTTGCTCTCAGTCTTTGGTATACAGAGTTGTTACTTTTGTCAGCTGGCTCTGGCTAGCATATAAGTCAGAGAAACAAAGAAATGTATAAAGTGCTTGATCTGATTTCTTGATTTGGTCCTTGATTTCCTATAAACATCTCTCTACCTGCCTTTGCTTGCAGCATGGATTCTGAAATGATGTATTTCCAGTAATTTAGAGCATCACCTGTATAAAATGGAAAACATGTATTTTCCATTTTATACAGGTGATGTAACATAGGTCAAGAAAGTGGGTAGTTATGGTGTTACGGTGTTGGTACACAATACAATAAAGAGATGGGCAAGGCATGGAAGCTACAAACTATTTGCACGTCTCAGAATGTTTTGTTTTCAAATGTTGCAACTGATCACAAGGATAAGAAAAGTCCTTTACATGGACCCCACTGAGTTCCTATCCTTGACCCACCTTGATCTCACAGAACACCCTGACTGCAGAATGCTACCGCAGGGACGCTCTTTGTTGTGTGATTCTTGCTGCCTTAGAAAGTGCTCATTCTGGAAGACTGCTTTTCCTCTTGCAACACGGTGTGCTGTCCATCTTGTAAAATTCACAGACTTCTTTTGCCATCCTCTTTTTCCTCTCCAGCCAAGCTCATCGTGGAGACCGACACATTTGGGAGCCGAGTGAGAATTAAAGGAGCTGAGACAGGATTCTATATCTGCATGAACAAGAAGGGAAAGCTGATTGGCAAGGTAAAGAGAAAAGCAAGTGAAATTTGTAAGACTTCTGGGGCACGGGAAGAGTGTGTGTAAGACAGCTTGGAGCCCAACAGGAGGTTGAGCAGAATACTTTGGGAGAGCAAAATATGGAGATGGAAAGGCAAAGGGGCATATAAGTGAACCTGCAAGTGAGCCCATTGCATGCATTGGTTCATGCTGCATATCTTTCAGCAGCCCATGGAAATAACTTCCACTAGGTACAGTCAGTGTCATAAAAGGGGTAAAATTCAAATACACCTCTATAGATGAGCAAAGCTGATGCAACTAAAGCAGTACCAGCTCCTGGTTTTGAAGGGCCCTCAGGCAGATGCCTTTCCTAGGCCTGTTCCCCCGGTGAGTCCACCTTGCCACCATTGCCACCAACTGCTCTTGCTCCTCTCTTGCTCCTTACTGCTCCCACTTGCAGGGAGCAAGTAGACCACTGTATCTGCTGCGTCTCACATCACCACTGGCCCCAAAGCATGAAACAAGCGAACAGTTTCGAGTGGTGAAGATGAGGAGCATCCCCTGAAGTCTGTTGTCCGTGGGCCCCTGCTGGACAAATCTGTCCGTGTGGTCTCTCTGTAGGTGCTCAGCCATGCCAGCCCTGACATTCATGCACTGTAGTTTTAGCTTCTGACATCTCACAGCAGAACCTGGGTAAGCAGGGACTGACTGGAGCCTTGCAAAGATCTTCAGTGTTTAAGTGTTTCCTTTTTGGTGGAAGGAGTAGTTGTTTTCTTTAAAGGACAGCTTTCTTCTCCTTGTGGTTAAGAAAAGAATGCTGCAACAGTGCAACATCTTTTGCTTTAGTGTGCAATCATATGCATGTCTGGACAGACAAAAATCCTGCAACTCTCAGCTTTCCCCAGAATTGTGCCCTTGATAGTTTAAAAACTGGAAAGTATCTTTACGTGGGACTATGTAATCCCAAGGATCTTTCATAATAATCACCTTTGTTAGCATGGCCCCTTCTCCCAACATAGCTAGCTATTCATTCTACTGTTCCATGTACTTCATGTCTCTCAGCCTTAACAAAAACAGCAAAGGTCATATCTCTATGTGTGCTTACTTACAAGTCAGTCCCATTGAATTCAATGGGCTTTGTTTCCAGGTCCTGGCTCCACTACACCACTGTAACTATACACTAATATGATATAGCCAAGGAAAGAACTGGCATCAAAATCCCTTGCACTCCACCTCTACCTAACTATGGCTATCAATAAGCATCTCCTTTGCCTGGCAGCTCCTTGACATCTAGTACAACCTGTTAGTGTTCTTGCAGTTAGTGCATAATTTAAAAAAGGCATATGCAAATCTATGTAAATTTGCATTCAATAGGTAAATCTTTTTTGTGCAGTTTTTATTTTGCTTTAAACATGCACAGCCCTGAGGAAAATCCTTGCCAGCCAGCCAGCCAGGCAGCCAGCCACAGCACTAAGCTCCTAACCTACTGATGAATTCTAGGGCTGCCATTTCTTCCAAAGACATTCCCCACCCAGCTACTGCTATTTATTATGTTAGCAAATAGACGTCATGGGGAGGAAGTTCAGATCATTCCCGGGATCAGATTGGAAGAGATCCGGATCAGATGAGAACAAAGGATTACAGATACCTTTTCCACACTACAGTCCACATCTCAGTTCCCCAGCCAAGGGGCAATCTCATAAAGAAAGACCATGCATGTAACAGCTTATCATTCTGCCTAGTTTTCTTCCTTAAAAAGAGGATGTTGGGTGACATGTATTAAATAAAATCTGCTTTTAAAATCACTCTGTGGACAGGATGTACTTGTTTCTGCTCTCAGTGCTTTGGTAATGGATGACACTGAGTGGCTGGGGGGAAGGCAGCCGCCACATGCTCTCTCCTTCATCCGAGAAGAGACTCACAAGTACCTTTCCTGCCCACAATTGTCATGGTTCATAGGCAATGTCAAGAGTAGGTCTGGCTGAGCACCTGCCAAGGATCCACATCCCAACAGGGAACCACTGACAGGAATCCGCTGGAATTGCCCCCTTTTTCCACCACTGCACCCTGCTTGTTCAAAGTCCTCTTGTTCTGTCCCAAACAAATGGTAGTGACGAGGAGGAGGAAGAGCAGACGCCACTGCCAATGGGCTCATTGGCTCTGTAGCTTGCAAACAAGCAGGGGGTGGCTGTGACTAAGGAAGAGTGGGAGGAGCAAGAGTGGCTGCTGACAATGGCAGTGAAAAGACAGAAGTGTTAAGGGAGTAAGTCCATTGAGGTATCTTGCCTAAAGGCTCTCTGAAACCTGGAGCTGGCCCAGTAGGAAGCTGCCTTATGCCAAGTCAAAGCGTGGACCATTCAGTCCAGTCGTGGCAGCTCTCCAAGGTTTTTCCAGCTGAACCTGAGAATGCCAGGAATTGAACTGGAGAATGTGTGCATGCAGAGCAGGTATACTACCTGTGAGCCACAGTCTTGGAGCAGAGAATATTTGGTCATGGCAGCCTAAGTGCAGTGCGCCTCTTGGGACCCTCCAGTCACTGTGGATGCACAGATATTACTTGCACCTATGAAGGCTGATCCTGCATGTACACATAGACTAAGTGCCCTGAATTCTTTTTCGTCCGTTGTATATATATTTTAGCATCCCTTAACAGCATTTCAGTTTGCAGGAGGAGGAGGTGCAGCCAGGTTTGTGCATATTTTGTGTGTGTTTCCTGCCTTCAACTCATTTCATGGCACAAATCTTGTTAGGCCTGCAAGGGTCTAGGACCACCTCTCTCCTGCATTAGAAACAAGAAGCAAGGCATTTCTGAAATGAAGAGTCTGATCTTTTGTTCCCTTCTTCATGCCAATGCCTGCATCCTGGAAGCCTTCCACTTAGCACTGTACCACCTTCTTTGCCCTATCCTTCCCAAAATAATTATGTTACCAGTGCATTATTATTAGAATAATGCCAGTGCATTATGCCAAAGCTACACACTACACTCCTCCATCCCCGATGTCCAAGCCAGAAGAAATGTTGGTTTATTTATTTACTAAAAGCTTTTCTATCCTATCTCGGGATGGCTTACAAATGTTGTCATTAGTTCACATTTATTCAGACACACACTTCTTCCCCAGTGTAAGATTTGCCCCTTGGCCAGAACTGCAGAAAGTTAATTTCCCCACCCCCCAAATAAGCCAAGCCACAAAGCAGAAGAGTCATAGCTCAGTGCATATCGTTCAAGGCTTAATCCCAGAGTCTCTAGGGAACCCTGGGAGAGTCCAGTGTCCAGTCAGTGCAGAGCAGCCTCATTTGGACGTCAACCCTCATCAGCTGCAGCCAGCTTGCGCAAAGGTCAGAATTTGGGGTCTTGTTGTGTGCCAGGTTAGGAAAAGCTGGTGCAGGCGATACTGAGCAACATGGACCAATGGCCTCCCACTGTGTTCTGTATTCCTGTGTAAGCACCGAGTTTGTTTTCCTAGCAGTGGACCTTGCCAGATTATCAACTTACCCATGAGTATTCCACTCATTCTTTCTGTCCTCCTCACCTAGTTGTGCTCCTATTTCTTTCATTTTTCCCCTTGGGTGTGCCGTATATGCAGTCTGTTCCAGATTGTTTGTTTAGTCACAAAGTCATGACTGACCCATCACGACCTCATGGACATCATACCTCCAGCTCTCCTGTCCTCCTCCACCCCTTGGAGTCCACCCAAGGCCACACCCACTGCCCCAGTGACTCCATCTAGCCATCTCATCCTCTGCTGTCCCCTTCTCCTTTTGCCATCAGTTGTTTCCAGCATCAGGGTCTTCTCCAGTGAGTTGTTCCTTTTTATTGGGTGGCCAAAGTATTTGAGTTTCATCTTCAGTATCTGGCCTTCTAAAGAGCAGTCAGGGTTGATCTCCTCTAGGACTGACTGGATTGGAACCAATCAAAGAAAAGAGAAGAATAACTTACTCGTATTCTGATGCCTATTTGCATGCCTGATGAATTTGCTTTGTTTCTCAGGGATAGGTTGGAGTGGTAGAGCTGATGTGGCTTGTACTTGAGGTGCTCACCTAGGCATCTAGGACTGGGTTCAGACAGCACAATAACCCACATTCTAATATTAAGTGTGAGTTGTCATTGAAACATGAACTGTTGTTGAAACACATGTCATCATGTTACCTAAAGCCAACCAAGGGAAGAAGCAATGGTGAACAACCCACAGTTCACAACACAACAACAAAACATGGATTCTGTTCATGGGGTGTCTGTGGTTAAGAAGCTATGGCTTCTTAGTGCAGCTGACTTTGGACAACACAATAACACATGTTTCAGCAACAACCCAAATTCAATCCATACTCAGCCTTTGAATGTGTGTTCGGACACACTGTAAAAACTTTGATCTTCAACAATGGCACCACTCCTGGGCTGCAGTAAGTCCACATGGTGTTTATAGCTGCAGTGTTCTTTGCAGTTCTGGGGAGAACACTTCCAGCTATACAAAACAATCTTCTTTGCACAGAACTATATGCTTGCTAGCTGCCTTATGCTCTCTACCCTGATGGAAGGTTGAGGGTGTACGAAAGACTAGGAATTCACAATCTAGGTAATTTCACTTGGCGGGGGGTGGCCCTGTGCATTGGTGCAAAGTGTCAGGTGAGGGTTGAATGTGGGCCTCCTAACAGACCTATTTAAAGCTCTAATGAGTTGGATGGCATTCAGATAGTGACACTCATTAGCGACATCCCAGGTCTGCCAGGTTTTCTAATAAGTGCTAAGGATACTTTGCACCTTCAGGAGGTGGGATCTTCTCTGTCAGTTTAGGTCTACACATTAAGACAATGAAAGATGCACTATAGCCAAACATCAACTAATAAATAGCCGGAGGAATCAGATAGATGTAGACTGGGTGTGCATGTGTGAAAGGAAGATCTCAGATGTACTTCTCAATTTTCATAACTCTGGAGCTAGCAAAGTCTGGATATTTCTGTTTACTGAGTTTTCAGATAATCAAATAACAATTATCAATGCTGGTGCATTCTCCTGCTCTTATAATTCATACTTACCACCAACTTTAAAATTGATATCTTGAATTTTTGTGGCTTGTACAAAATAGGAAAAAAGTTTTGAAAATATGATTCATATAGTAAACTTTCAGAGTATAACCAAAGAATGTTGGTTGTTGTTAAGGATGGCTGGCTCAGTGGGGTTCTTGTTCTCCCACAAAAGGAAGCACAGGGCACCTACAAAGTTGTGCTCAGGGGCTTAGGCTAGCTTTCAAGTGTTCCATTTGAGCTGATGCAGGGATAGATGAAAGGACTGGAGGTTTCCTTTTTAAAATCTGTGCCATTGTCTTCTCTTGTTCCCATCTGCAGAGCAATGGCAAAGGCAAGGACTGTGTCTTCACTGAGATTGTGCTGGAGAACAACTACACTGCACTGCAGAATGCCAAGTACGAAGGCTGGTATATGGCTTTCACCCGGAAGGGTCGTCCCCGCAAGGGATCCAAAACTCGTCAGCATCAGCGTGAGGTTCACTTCATGAAAAGGCTGCCCAAGGGACACCAAACGACCGAGCCTCACAGACGCTTCGAATTTCTCAATTACCCTTTCAACCGGAGGAGTAAAAGGACTCGGAACTCGAGCCCAAAGCCCACTCCTTGACTACTAGTGCCACTCAGGTCCACCTTCCTTTCCCTTTGCTCCAGGACATTGTGTAGAGACTTAATTGATGGACAGTGATTAGAGACTTACCTATGACGATGATTTAAAAGGGGGCTGGAACAAGAGGGGGGAAAACTTGATCTAGTTGTTTATAATTGTTTGTTTTGTGTTTTTTAAAAAAAACAAAAAGAGGCTCTATTTTTGTATTCCAACTTTATTGCTTTTTTAAGAAAAAGCAATGTAATGTTCAAAGACTCGTGGAGAGTTGCTCTTCATTTAGAAACATTTTGAGTCCATCAGGAGGGGTGTGTGTGTTACATTTTAATAGACTGCTTTTAAAAAAAAAATGCGGGGTGGGTATGGATAGGTGATAGTTGATCTAGGGGTAAGCATAGAATATGCCCTCTTCAATCAAAAAATACATTTGGGACCAAATTTCTACCTCAAGTACAACAAGTAATTTAATAGGATGCAATATATCAGGAACATTTGTGCAAGTTCCATTTATTTATATGGGTCTGTGCAGGAGATGTTCCCCAATATTTGCAGCCTGTAGTCTTGCTTGGAGTCAAACTTGTATAAGTTTTTTGAAACCAATTAATCTTGCAGGGACTATCTGGATGGCACTTGTAGTCCCTGTTCCATTTTTGAATGAGAGGAGGAGGAGGAGAAAGAATGGCTACCTAGTGATGTAGCTGGGCCATTTTAGACCCTGGACTAAATGGTCTTATGGGTTCCCCTTTTGATGACCACCTGCATGACTTCACTTGTGAAGCACGCAACTTGCATTTGTCTTTCTGCTCACCTTCCATTCTGGGCTTTAAAACTGCACTGACATTCCTTATACGTTAGACTGTCAACCCTGACGAAAGAAATAGTGTGTGTGCAGTTAGCATTTTGTGTTCACTTGCATCCAAGCATCATCATGGGTATTGCGATAACATGGAATCTGCATCTGGTGCCCTGATGTCCTTGTTACCTTTCAATCTCCGGGTGGTCATTTCAACCCTCCCTGGCTGCAGAACCCTGGACTTTAACACCAAGGTCCAGCTGTAGCTGCATCACTTTGTGTACTACCAATGATGTACTACTGAGGTGAGGGCCACTAGTTTTGCTTTGTTTGTTCAACTGAAGGTAATCATAATGTCTCCAGTGGTCTGCATCTTTAATTGCTATGTAGACATTTTTGTATTGTTTGTTCTGACAATAAAATGCCACTGAGTTCAATTTTCCCCATTACCCCTCAGTTTCTAAGGTACATCTTTGTCCTGAGGCTGAGTAGAATTCTCAAGCAAATTATACTCACGGAGAAGTTGAGACATACTTTCAGTTCTTAGGAAATCATGAGAAGATCAAGAAAGGAAACCATGTTCCTCTTAGGTTAGGTGTTAGCAGTTTGGAAACCTCTGGCCCAAATCTGATCTGCTGAGAGATGCTGCTTCAACCTCCACTTACCAGCCTACAGTCTGTAACCCTGGTCTGTTTATACTTTGTCAAAATTACCCTTGAGTAAAACTAGTCACCAACTAGTGCATTGGGTTGATCAGTAACTAAGTTCCTTTACCACAGAACTAGGCAGGTAGGTTTCTTGGCTCCTTCCAATGTACCCTATTCCCTCCCATTTAAAATAAAGAACAAAAAGCTAACACATTTTCTTACCAGCAGCTGTGAAATCGGTTGATGTTAGAACTAAGAACTGTGTATCCAAGAGTGGTTCAGTGTGTCGAGGCTCAAGCCCCATCCCTGCTTTGTACTCAGACTATGGGCAGGCTACTTGTCCTTTGCCATGCTTTCTGTGGCAGCCATTTTGTGGTGGTGTCCCAGACAATTTCTCAAATGGCTAAATGTGTCTATGGCCCAGAAAGGTTGCCTCCCCCACTGTACCCTCTTCTGAATGGGGAAATGATGGTTGCCTTTTTCAGCTCTTTGTAAGGGATGCTGCTGTTGGTATTTAATCCCACTGAAAATATTGCCTGCATTCCAGTTTATTTCTCTGCAGGGGGCTAGGATGAGTTCAGCCACACAAGCCTATAATGGGCTGTGATGGCATCTTTTGTCAAAACAGGAACTTCAGAAGGCTTAACTAACACTTCGAAGGGTGAGAAGGAGGGAGAGATTCTGTGCCAGACATTTGATTCGAAAGGAGTACTTGCAAAGGATTATTTAAAATAACAATAGGGGAAAATACTTTTAAAAAGTCAGTGTAAGAAAACTGGGAGCTGACTTGCTGTCATAGCACATCTTTTTCTGATAGTTTGTCTTTCATCACATTGAGGGTTAAAAATACTGTATAGAAATTAAATATGAAATGGCTTGAAATATTTATTTAATATGTGCATTAAAAATTCTACTAGTATAAATGAGGCTTGCTCTCTGGCTGTGTGATTTCCAGCAGGGACAGGAATCTTCCAGGAGTGGAAGATGAGGATTGGGAGGGGAAAATCTGCAAACAAGAGAGGTGAGAAAAAACTCTGGGCTGTGAATCCTTTAAGGATTGGCACCTGGCTTTGACTCTCCAGGGGCAGGTCATCACAGCAGCTGTTTGGAATGGCGTTGTGTTTCTTGTGGACATTTTAACAATGTAACTAATTGTTTCCTTTGAAAAGACTCAGATGCAAGCATTTCTCAAGGCTTGTTCTGGTATCCAGATTTTTAACAGCTTTTGAAGAGTGGTAGTAAGAGACTTTTAAACACTGACTTGGGATAAATTCTTGATAGTGATTCTTGTTGGAAATGGAATGATAGAATTTTGAGCAGTGTTTTAGTAGCTTAAAAGGTGAAAGCATTTTGTTTCAAATTATTGGAGGCCAATTGGGCTATTTGACAAGCATGTTTAGATTGATTACATCTCAGAGCTTATGCTGCGAGAGTACTGGGAGCAGCATCTAATGTTAGTCTAGTTTAAGCCCTATTCATATCAATTGCTCTATTCTAAGCAGAACTTACATTGGATGCAACCATAGAATAGGATTATGTTAATATGAAATGGTATATGCATGGTTTTAAATAAATACAATTAAGCTGAAATCTATACCAGTTTACCTGAGAGTGAGTCCCATTGAACTCAGTGGTACTTAACTCAGAGTGAACATGTATAGGTCTGTACTGTGAAAATAAATGACTTTGTGAAATTAGCTATTAAATGGTGTGGGACTCCTAGCACTACCAATCAAAAGACACTCTAAAGCTCACCTTTCCACCTGAACAATGTATTTATTGCATTTTGGTAAGAAGAAAGGCAAAAGAAGTGGCTGGAAACACAGGAAGGTTACACATGAAAGAACTTGGCTGGAATCTCCACCCCCAAGAACATTCTGTGGATGAGGCAGAGCAATCACATAGTAAAAGGTCCACCTAGAAACACCCCTGGATCATGTAGCACCACTGTATAATGAATTTATGGAATTCATTGCCAGAAGATCTAAAGGCTACTTGTTTAGATGTTCTTGAAACAGAATTTGGCAAGTTCATAGAGGCTATTCATGAAGCAGAGGTAGCGTGCCACTGAATACCGGTTACTGGTCTGGTATCAAGGTAAGCATGTTTGGCCATCTGGTGTGGGCTCATATCCCAGCAGGGAACTACTACGCCAGGCCCCCAGACTTGCTCCTCCTCTTCACCACTGCAGCCTGCTTGTTCATTTGCCTCCTGCTCTGGCCCTGACAATGGTGGCAGTGAGAAGGAGGGGCAGGAGACCCTACTGCCTACTTGCTCACCAGTTCCCTGTCTGTCAACCAAGTGAGCAAATGCTGGCAAGGGCAGCTACTGACAATGGCAGTGAAAAGGCAGAATCAACTAGGGAGGGCACCCGTTCAAGATGCCTTGACTTAGGTCCTCACTGGTGCCCCAGTGAAGGTGCCCCACTTAGGCACCCTTCAAGAACTCCATGAAGCTGGACTGGTTGGCTCTATGCTGTGATTCAGCAGTGTTCTTAATAATGAGCTCTCTTATTTCTAGTGAGAAGCAGGTAATTTCCCAGATGATGTGAAAAGGCATATGCAAGTGCATGTGCTCTTCATCTTTGTATATTGTTTGTTTCAGCGAGAACTAGACTGAAGGACTTAGACTGAACCTTATTTTCTCATGGTCTACTTCTTCAGCAGTTCTCTGCCCACTCACCCAGGAACAAGCTTCAATTAAATAAAATGTGGCTTTCTTCTAAGTAGATAGGTAGCTCTTTTCTACTTCTGAACAAATCAATTTTCTGTTTCAAGTCTGATATTTAGATATTGTAGGTCTTGTTACTACAATTTGGAGACCATGTAAATATGAAGCTTGACTGGCAGAAAGGCAACATGTTGATCTTAGCTTTTTGGGGAGACATACTGAGTTCCAAGGTACTGAGTGAGGACAGATTGCAGGGCTGAAGTGTGATCTCCAGTTTAGGCCAGGAGAGCCTATGTTAGTCATAAATCACAGCTGGAGAAGAATAGACTGGGGAGTCACCTAATCTAGCAGCTATTCCAGTTCTGCCTGAAGGTCCCTTTCTCCCTTTTCAGTCTTCTCCTATCTCCATTGAATTCAGTGGAGTCTCTGCCCACTGAAACCTACTCATCAATCTCCTTGCACAGGAATGATGGGTTCTGAGTGTCTAACATAAGGAAACGTTGCCCATCTTCATGGAGTCATCCCCAAACTGGTGCCCTTGAGATATGTTGGATTTCATCTCCTAGCATCCCCCAGCCACTATGACTATTGCATAGTGTTAAAACCTCCCATTGGCTATGCTGGTGGGGATGGGGGTGTCCAACACATTGGCAGGCTAGAGAAGGCTGTTTTAGGGTCTCCACAGACACCTTCTTTGCTTATATGAACCACCTGAAATTATCCACAGTGCTCTATTACTAATGAGAGAACCCACAGCTGCTTGCTGATTTGTGAATTGTGGGTTGTTTGTGGTTAACAAACCATGATTTATTACAATGGTAGAGTTCAGTAAACTGAATAACTCACACTTCAACAGCAACCTATGGGCCAATGACAACCTACATTGAACATTT